CCAGTCCCTGCCGCCCGTCTCCTACACGAAAGGTACGGGTGTGGGGGTGGGTTGGAAGGGGAGGGGTGGGATGGAAGGGGAGGGGGGGAGGAAGGGGGAGGAGGGAGGGAGGGTTGGAAGGGAAAGGGGTAGGGGAGAGGGGTGGGGTTGGGAGGGGAGGGGAGGGATGGAACGGGAGGGGGTGGGGGAGAGAGGGATGGAGAGGGGGGAGGGAGAGGGAGGGATGGAAGGAGAGGGGGAGGGGGAGGGAGGGATGGAAGGGGAGGGGAGAGGGAGGGATGAAAGGGGAGGGAGGAGGGAGGGTTGGAAGGGAAGGGGAGAGAGGGATGGAAGGAGAAGGAGGAGGGGAGGGGAAGGGGTGGATAGGAGGGGGGAGAGGAGGGATGGAAGAGGAAGGGGTATGGGGTGGAAAGAGGGGGAGGGATGGAAGGAGAGGGGAGAATGAGGGATGGAAGGAGAGGGGGCATGGGGTAGAAAGGGGAGGGGGGAGGGAGGGATGGAAGAGGAGGGGGAGGGGGTAGAAAGGGGAGGGGGAGGGAGGGATGGAAGAGGAAGGGGTAGGGGTGGAAAGAGGAGGGGGAGGGGGTGGATAGAGGAGGGGAGGGATGGAAGGGGAGGGGGGAGGGAGGGAATGGAAGAGGAGAGGGAGGGGGTAGAAAGGGGAGGGGGGTAGGAGAGGGAGGAGAGGGAATTTGGATGTGGGTGACTGGAGGGAGGGGATTGTGTGTGTGTGTGTGCGTGTGCGTGTGTATGTTGAATACTTATTTTAAGACATTTGATGCACAATGATTTTACTTTCTTGCAAATCTCTAATGTAACTTTTCAACACAATGATTCTTAATGCCCATTAGCAAAATCTTCAGTCTGTACGTTATTTTGTTGTTATAAAACAATAATTTACAGTCATTCTCCCCAAAACACCAGAGATTATCATAATTATCGTCATTATGATATTATTGTTAACATCATCATGATTGATATGATTAATAATGTCTTTATCTTTTAAGTTTTTTAGTATTATTAACAATGTGATTTATGATTATTATTATCATCATTATTATAATGCACACACACACACACACACACACACACACACACACACAACACACAACACACACACACACACACACACACACACACACACACACACACACACACACACACCACACACACACACGGATATAGGCTTGTGTAATGCATTCGGAAACACGCACACACACAGATCTAAGCATAACTAAAGATTCCCCTGCTGTCCTTGTGTGCACTTCTTCCTACTTCCCCTCCTCCTCCTCCTCCTTTTCTTCTTCTTCTTCTTCTTTTTCTCCTTCTCCTTCTCTCTCCTTCTCCTCTTCTCTCTCCTTCTCCCCCCTCCCCCTCCTCCCCCTCCTCCCCTCCTCCCCTCCTCCTACTCCCCCTCCTCCTACCCTCCTCCTACTCGAGAGAGAGAGAGAGAGAGAGAGATCTGACGCGCCCCTCCTCCCCCCTCCTCCTCCTCTCCTCCTAAGAACTCCTCCTCCTCCTCCTCCCCTCCTCCTTCCCTTCCCCCCCTCCTCCTTTCCCCCTTCCCTTCCTCCTCCCTCCCCCTTCCTCCCCTCCTCTCCCTCCTCCTCCCCCTCTCCCTCCTCCTCCCCCTCCTCCCTCCTCCTCCTCCTCTCCCTCCTCCTCCTTCCCCTCCTCCTCCTCCTCCCCACCTCCTCCTCCTCCTCCTTCCCCTCCCCTCCTCCCTCCCCCCTCCTCCCCCCCTCCTCCTCCTCCTCCTCCTGAGAGAGATTGACGCGCCCCCCGCCCGCAGGCCATCGTGTGGACGGGCGTGTGCCTGACGTTCGTGTTCGGCGCCCTGCTGGAGTTCGCCCTCGTCAACTACGCCTCGAGGTCCGACATGCACCGCGAGCAGATGAAGAAGCAGCGGCGCCAGTGGGAGTTCGAGCACCAGGCAGCTCTGGAGGCCGAGCACCTCGAGTCCGACGGCGCCACGACCTTCGCCATGGTGAGCCGAGGGGAGGGGTGGGAGGCGGGGGGGGGGGTAGGTGGAGGGGGAGCTAAGGTCAAGGGGGGAGGGAGGAGGGAGCTAAGGTAGAGGGGAGGAGAGGAGGGAGCTAAGGTCAGGGGGGGAGGGGGAGGAGGAGGAGGGAGCTAAGGTCAGGGGGAGGGAAGGAGGAGGTAGGTCAGAGGGGGAGGAGCAGGAGGCAGGTGGTAGGTGAAGGGGGACCTAAGGTCAGAGGGGGGGGGCAGTTATATGAAGGAGGTCATGTCGGGGATAGCTATGTTTTGGCTGACAGGTTGCAGTTGGTTATTTCGTGAAAAATAATAGACAAAAAAAATTTTTTTAAAAACCAGAAAGGGTAGAATGTTTATTTACAGTGTTTTTGACAGCTAGGAAGTTATACGAAGGTGTCAAGCGAGGATAAACAAAGGGGAATGTTGATCCAGAATGTCAACATGTTTAGAACAAGTCAGAGCGGCCTGGTAAATAGCAGTGGTCTTGGGTTATACACTTGTA